TTTTGGAATCAAAATCACAGATTTTGTGGTGCTAATTTCGTGGTTTAAGTCATTTTACAATATTAGCACTAATGACAGTAAATGCAACTTTTTGATCGATCATGGAATATATCCTGACATCAAGTAATACTAAGGCAACAATGCAGTAGAAGTAAGAAATATTGCCACCTACAGGTGGGAGTTAGCATCACTTTAAACTCAATGTTTTGATCATTTGTGAGGAGAAATTGTAATAAATGCACAGACAGAAAAAATGCAGGGATCTCTTGATTTTCTGTGAATTTCTCAGCGGCTGATCCGGGACCAGCTGATCTGCAGCTGCTTTTTATAAATCGCTCTTCAGCAGAGATGAATGGAGCCGCCGGCCGCTCCAGCGACTCCTCATTAACACTTCAAGGCCAAAGCGCGCTGCTGCATTATGGATCCAATTAGGGAGAAAAATGACAGGAAGCGAGGCTGCATGTTAATCTGTCCAAACACAGCGTCTGACTCACGGCTCGTCTTCCTGCAGACAGAACGGGCTGATCGCGGGTTAATAAGGCGGAAAACAACAAACTGAATTCAGGATGCTGTGAAAACAGAGCTGCGCGATCAGATGATCATATTGATTATAGATTTATTATTTTTTTCCACCAATTCACTCCTTGGGTTTCAATAGTTAAAAGTGAGCCGCCATCTTGTTTTACAGCTTCTATTTATTTGGACTTGAATGCAGGTGAACTCTACGGCAGAAAGGTTAGGCTGCGATTTTACTTGGCCTTCACAAAGTTCGGTTCTGAGCCGCCATTTGTTTTCCCTGCTGCTGATTAGCTGAAACTCCAGAAGCGGAAATACAACAGACTGCAGTTTCTGCTCCTAGTGCTTTGACTATTCCACTGTGTTGATGCATTTTAAGGTAAATCTGGTGTTTGAACTAATAAAATACATTTATTTTTTGAGGGTTTTTCAATTCTTCTTGGACGTCAGACTCTATGATCACTAAAACAGCAGGAACTAGTTTGTAAAGAGAGGTTATTATGTACTTTCCAGCTATATTCTGCCATTTTATTGCACAATGTATATATTAAACATAACTTGCAAGAAGTTCAACTTCTCAAATCAATGCCATGAAATTGGGCCTCTGTCTCTTTAAGAAGCTCCTTGATTTCCTTTTAACAACATTTTTACTAGCATTGCACTGAGAAGTTGTTCCTATAATAAGCTCAGCGGATAAACGGTTCCACCAGGTGTTTGCCAATTGCTGCTGGCTAGTCTGTAGGAGAAAAAACTCAAAGATTCCTCAAACATGTATGAAAGAATGAAAGTAACACTCCAGGTATGTTTTTAATGAGGGAGTAACATTAGAAACATGAGTAAAGCTCAAAAAAAGTCGGTTAAACCTGAAGGTGCTTCCACATAAGAGAATAAAAATATTTAACATTGTGATTGTAAAAATATTATGTGTATTTTGCGCTTATTCTGGCTAGTATTTTTCTTTTTTAATGCTTTTTAAGCAGTTTAACTCCCACTTTCTGCAGTAGATATAAACCAAGGTCTGAACCTGTGATTCGTTCAGTTAAAGCCTCAACATAAACAAACCATTTTATGCTCATTTGTGTGGGTTTTGTTTAAGACATAATCTTATTTTTTTTGGTTTAGTTTCTTTGTTTTGCAGCTGGGAGCTTCCAGATGTTTGTCTGCAGCTTTGCCCTGCTTAACCGATGATAAAAACCTTCAGTTTTTGCATCCTGACCATAAAACAGCGAGCTCTGCTTCATCCGCAGGCAGCAGGAATCCATTTGAGACTCTCTTCTCACTGCTATGTTTCAATTAGAGGACAGATTTGAAACCTGGAAGAGGCTTAAAAGATCAGCAGCTCCCATTGGGTCGCCTCCTTCTGCTGCCTGGACAGATTAGCGTCAGCTGCTAACAGGAAGGTGTGACTCTCAGATCCTTTCCTGCGCGACGCTTCACTGGGAAAAATGGGAATTTATTTCTTATAAGACGAATGAAAAACGACACTGAAGGAACCAGGATTGGAGAGAAGCTGACTTTAAACATTTTCAATGTTAAAAATATGCAGAAGGTCTGAAACAAGCTGGTATTTTCTCAAACAACTTCTTCAAAGTTCAGTTCACAGAAATTAAATCACACGATTACTTAAACCGAGCTCAATAATTTCCATTTGTGTGATTTATTGTTTTTCGCTTCTTCTACTAAAATCTGGATGATAAAAGTCTTCAGTCTGGTGCTTTGGTCTCAACTAATCCTTATTTTGAAGGATAATTTTATTTACAGAAACTTAAAGTTTCATTTTACTTATTGTTTGTTTATTTTGGATATTGAAAAAGCTTTCCAGTTCCAGTGTTAAATACATAATTTAAAATTTATTGATCTTTGAAAATATTTTCCTGTGTTATTATTGTGCTATTATCATATCTCAAAACAATATCATTTATCGAGATAATTTCTCTGATGATTGATTCTCCAGCAAAATTTGTTATCATGACAGACGTAGTTCAGCTTAAAATGTTTGAAACATCAACATTCACAAAACATTCATTCCTCATGACGCCACATGTTTTTGCTAAAGCTCACCAGTCCCTCCTGCAGTAAAACACCCCCACATCATGATGCTGCCACTCCCATACTTCACAGTAGGGATGGTGTTTTCCAGAACCAAACTCCAAGAAGCAGCATCCAGTTTTCATTTTCCTCTAATCTGGAACAAACTTCCAGAAAACAGCAAAGCAGCCAAAACACTCAGTTCTAAAATTTGTTCTTATTTGTTTAGAATTTTCTTTGACTGTTCCATTTATCCAATTAACTGAAAAATTATTAATTTTAGTCTGTAGTCAAGTTGCACAGTGGTGCAGTTGGTAGAGCCGTTGCCTTGCAGCAAGAAGGTTCTGGGTTTGATTTCCGGCCCCGGGTTTCTCTGCATGGTGACCTCGCCTCTCGCCTGGAACGTTAGCTGGAGAGGCAACAGCAACCCTCCCGAAAATGGATGGATGAATAAAAATAAGTTTTAAGAATCCAGGCAGGTCTGATCCAGACTTTTAAGATGATGAAACCCTTTTCCTCACTATGAACCTCATCAGTATCCGGTTCCTCTTCATGCGGCTGCATCCAGTTGCAGGGAAACTGATCCCAGATCAGGTGAGAGTGATGGATCGGCTTTCTGATCCAGTCAGACGGGAGACAAACAACTGAGGAGTCAGTTCAGATCCACAGCTTTATGGGTTTAATAAAAACAGAACCGGCCTTCTCCTTCCTGCTTCACGGGTTTGTTTTCCAGTTTTTGTCCCTGTGCTGCCATCTAGTGGTCAAACGAAGCCCATCAGCTCAGAGCGTGGAGGTGTTCCTGGTTCCTTTCCATCCTCTCCTCTCCTCCTCGGAGTCTCGGCCTCCCCTCCGAACCTGGCTATTTTTAGAAACAGGGCAGTGAATGACAAAGATAGTCCAGGAAGTGGGTCTGTGTAATCCCTGGGTTCTGATGGCCTCACACACGCTGTAACGGGGTCAGAGGTCGTTCTGCGGGTCCGTCCTGCTCCGAAGGACCTCATCTGCAGAGACGGTTCTGACTCTTATCTCAAAGAGGCGCGTTGCTGCAGTGACCCAGTTCCTCTTATAGCCGAGAAAACCACCAACACACACACACACTTATATTTCTGACCGTATTAGGAAATTACAGTAACTTCCATTTGCTTTTGTAACCCTCTTTGCTCTTCACCATGACTGACACTTAGCCTTAAAAAGGAAGGAAGGAACGATAAGAGGCAGAAGAAAGATAGGAAGGTAGGACAGAAAAAGTACAGAAATAAAAACGAAGACAGTAAAAGAAAGATAAAGGAAAAGAGAGAAAGAAAAACAGAGGAAGAAAAACAGTAAGAAAGAAAGACAGAAAGAGAAAGAAAAATACAGAGAAATAAAGTAAAAAAGAAATGGAGAAAGAGAGAAAAAATGAAACAAAGACTGAAAAAGAGAGAGAATCTGAATCTGAGTCAAATTTATCTGTGAATCTGTTCAGGTTGGAATTTTGATCAGATTCTGCAGTCAGTTCATAGTCAGAAATCTGTACAAGAATCTGTTCAATGTCCTAATTTTCATAAATCGATTCAGAATCTGGACTCTGCTTAGGAAACTGTTCAAAGTTGGGAAATGACAACAAATAAGGAATCCAACATAATCTGTTCAGTCTTAGAATCCATCAGTAATTAGGAATCTGTTCAAATTTAGAATCTGTTTCTTAATTTGCTGTTTGTCATATTTTTCCTTCTGTTGACAAAATTTCACTTTAGAAGACAAAGTCTGGAGCTATGAGCCTCCTGGTTGTGATCAGAACCAGATGAGAACTTGAGGTCCGTTTCAGCCTGAACTCATAACTTCACACATGACCATCTGCAGACCACTAACCCGTGAGCTCAGACACTTCCTCGTGTGTCAACACGGCATTTAGCAAACATCTGCCACACAAAACCTCTAAAACAAGTCGGACCCGACCCGAAAGCAAAAGTGTCGAGTTTCTGCAGCGAGACGCCGGCGTGCGGCACGAGCCCTGCTGACCTCCAGGTCGCAGAGTTTCTGTTTAAGGTCCAAGAACTGGTTCAAAGTCTGAATGGTGGGAGGAAACAAGGCGGCGGCGCTTTTATTAACCTCCAGCTTCTGCAAATATTTACCTCAGACACACAGTCACACGGCATGTGAGCCGCGCGGCCAGGAAAATCTCTCAGGATTCATTTCCACTCAAAATGCAGAGAAAATGTTACATATTTCAGATTCCTCATGAGTTTGTGATCACCTCTGGCTGGTTGTGTTTTCCGTTCCCTTCGTTAACGAGCTCTGTAACGTTTTTCAAACGCAGCTGCACGGAAACACGGCTGTTGTGTATTTATAAAAGTGAGCTGCTTTTCATTAAAAACACCAGGGGAGCGCAGATGGTTCGTCAGATCTGGATACAAAACGGACAGAAAAATTACTAAAAATAAGACCCTCCTCCTGCCTCTGATTGGTCATTTTTGGTGCATTTCTTCAGATGGCAGTAGTAGCTCAGGGAAGACGTGGAGCAGATTGATTTTTCAACAGATTGTCTGTCTCATAGTTAGGACTGTCACAGTAACAAACTTTGCTGGATGAAAAATTGTCCCAGAAGTTTTCAACAATAATACTGTTGTTTTGAGACCATTTTCAAGTAATATAGTGGTCATGGCATAATGACGCGAGAACACATTCTGAACGATCAATAAACTTTAAATTCTAATAATATTTAACCCTGGAACTGGAAGATATTTCTAATATCCAAAATAAATAAACAAAAACAACAGAAACAACAAATAAAATTAATTACAAAATCAAAAAACGGTTAATTGAGACTAAAGCACTAGACTGAAGACTTTGATCATACACTTTATTGGTAGAGAAAAAAACAATAAATCATGCAAATAGAAATTATTGAGCTCGTTTTAATTTATCATGTAATTGATTTATTGTTTATTAAGACAGGTCTAACAACATAGCTTCTCCCCATCATGAATGCTAAGGCTAGTTAGCATGGCCACTGATGATGGCAGATAAATGGTTTTCCTGTATCTGTAAGTTGTTTATCCGCCTTTAGCACGATTAGCAGCTCATTCACAATCTTAACTGATACCTTTAAATCTAAACTAGGGCCTGGAAATCATTTCCAGGACGGAAGAAAATCTCAGTCCCAGTCACACCCATCATGTCACCTGTCACACAAAGTCCAACAAATTGTTTGTTTCCTGAAGGCAGAGCTTTCATGTTGCCTTATATAAACAGACAAACCTGTAAGACAAAACTCAGGGCATAAAAAAGACCAGGCAGGTCTGTTTTTTTTTCCCCTCTGGCCCCGCCCCAAGCTGTGATGTCACAGCAGGTGTTTTCCATCAGGTGTGAGAGGTCAAAGCCCTGCAGTAGTATGAGAGAAGCCGATGGCGGGGATTCGGTTTCAGGCTGCAACAGAATCAGAGCTCAGAGAACGAAACCCGACCCGCCTGTGGATCAGAGTTCATCTCTGAGGAAACATAGAAACACTCAAACATTCACACAAAGCACACCTGAAACGATTAATCAGATTAATCGTGATAAATAAATTAAAATCAACTAATTTAATAATTGATTAATCGTTAACTGGAGTACAAAGACTCAAAAAGGTCAGTTTGTTCAAAAAACAACAAATTTAGAGCAGTAATTACGACAAAACTGTACAAAATAAATACACATACAGTCAATGTAAAAACCATTGACATTTAGAACAGAAGTAATTATTTATTACAGTTCAGCTGTATCTGGTGGTAAATATATTTAAAAAATAAAAATTGTGTCTCAGTCTCACGATGAAAACTATGATGGAACAACAACTGAGAAAAGAGAGAAAACTGTCATTCAGACTTAGAGTCAAGCTGCCTTCTACCTTTCTGTTATTTTAGGACGATTTACAGACATTCACAGTCATTTTTTCAGCTGATTGTGGTCAATAAATAAGTTGGGATATAAACGACCGAACAGCCTGGGGGGAAATGATGGAAATATTCAAGTCTAAATCAGGGACATCTATAATCGCTGAGACTGACTCACATCTAAATCAGGCCAACAAACTGACTTCTTAACTCAGGCTTCAATGAAGAATTAATTTTTATTTTCTTCAGAAATATGACAGAACCTTTAAAACAAACCAACACAGGCCAGACTACAAATCTTATTAGTTGTGAAGCAGCTTTTCTGATGTCAGTAGCTACGTTTCTCCTACAATCAGCTGTTTCCCAGCTTTTAGAAATGTTATTTGTTCACATTACAGCAGAACGTGACATAAAAACAAAGGATGCATTCTCACCAGCCCAGTTTGGTCCACTTTAATCGAACTCCAGTTCATCTGTGTAGAAAGTCTGGTTCGTTTTTGGAGGAGTGAATGTGCAAATTGAACCAAAACAATGAACTCTTGTCCGTTGAAAGATCTAAAAATGGTTTGTTTGAAGTAAATATGTAAATGCAAGCAGACCGTAGACCGTTCCATAAGCAGGAAGTGAACTATATCAAAGGGCATTCTGGGTAAATATAACAACAACAACAACAAAAAAAAAAGTTGCTAGTCGAGCGCTTGCGGGAGACATTTTCCAAAGACAAAAGAGAAATCCTACAACTGCTAAAATCTGACGCTATGGGATTTTTGTTTACATTTCGCAAAGAAGGAAGTCTTCTTTTCATGTAATTTCCTTCGGTGGTTTTTGATGCAGCGCCCCCACAGGTGAGGAGGGTAAAAGTCTCTTAAAGGGTTTGGATTAGGGGTGCACCAGTTTATCTGCGCCAATTTCCTTAATTTTGGGAGATCGGTGATTGGCCAATATTTATATGAAAGCCGACCTTATCCACTGATCTTATCTAAAAATCAGCCACTGTCCTGTTTTGTGAGAGGTTGGGCTGACAGACCGGCCCACCAGGTGATGCCTATATGTTTGGAGTTAGCAACATTTCAGACAAAAAATAATTGGCATTTACCAAAACTGGAATTGGAAGGTCAGGCTTTTTAAAGATTGGTAATCGGCAATCGGTAAAAAAAAAAAAAACTGCAATCGGTGCAGCTTTAGTTTGGATCATTTGACACAAACTAGTGTGAAAGTGAATCGCAGAAACTGAAAATATAACAAATATTTCAATCTTTGTCCCCAATTGAACTGAGTCTACTGGAGTAGAAAACACCTAAAGTGTCACGTTAATCCCTGATTAAATCCAGATTGATGTTCCTGCTCAACCTGTTCAGGTTCAGAGGAAAGTCTGTTTGTACCGTAAACACCATAAATCTACCGAAAACCACAACAAGAACGCCTGTTCTCTGAGCTAAACTGACATTTACAGCCTGTTTGCAGGCAAACAAGCAGCTTCAATCAAAAGGGCAGAAACGTCTCGCCAAATTGAGGAACCTGACCGCTTCTTTCCTCTTCAGACAAGAACTTCAATCTCACGCAACACAAAGTTGCAAAACGTCTCAAAGTGTAGCTGAGATCTAAAAACTCAGCAGCAGACTGTGGTCAGGTGGAAACGCCTCAGAGTTTTCATCTGCGATCAGAGGAAGACAGACACAACCTCGACCTGACAGAACCCAGCTCCTGCCGAGATCCTTCAGGATCACAGCGAGTGAAGAAGAGCTGCACTTCCTCCGACTGTCGGCTCTCATCAGCCACTCCACCCACGCTCCAAAACAGAACAAATACTGACCAGCACAACTTCACAGAAGTAAAAAAATAAACTATTTCATTAGAATTGTTTTTTAAGCAAGAGAAGTTGTTTTCTAAATGATATCCCAGAGAAATGGGAGGAAGAAAGAAATCAGAAAAAAGATCAGCTTCAGGGCTGAACAAAGCTCTGACGGCGGCAGTGTGAACAGAAACCAGCCGTTTGGACGGCTGAGTGCTTGTCTATGGAACAGGTGATGACAGAACAGGTGAGATGTGTTCACAAAGCAGCATTTTGAAACCCAACTTATTCATTAAAACTGAAAGTAAGCAGCTCAGATGATTACTGATAAACACTCCGACAACAGATTTAAGATGCACCGACGTGAACGAGTTTGACTGCCGGTGATTCAAAAGTGAGGAATGAAGGAGAGCAGATGAGAGAGAAGAAGCCTCTGTAGTTACAAACATTAGATTTATTTTGAGTTTAACAAAATAAACTCAAAAATAAGCAAATAAATCTGAGTGTCATCAGCGTAAAGCATGATCAGAAAAATAATCAATCACACGAAGAATCTAAAAAATGGGAGGTAATATTTTACTATTAAATGTCAAAACTATGACAAGCTGGATATCACGGTTCAATAGGATTTAATTTCACAGTTTACTAAAGAGTTAGTTTTTAAAAAAATGTTAATAAATGTACGTCTGGAGTGAAGGCAAAACAGAGCGAGGGAAAAGAAGAACACGAGTGGTTCTGAGTTGTTCTTCACCTGATTTTCAACGTTATTTTCCCGTCTTTGCTTTGGCGCGCAGCAGATGCTGCGATTCCTGAAAGTTTAATAAACGATAAAAACTGGACTAATTACTTTGTTACGTTCAGTTGATTGTGATCGATATATAAGTGAGGGAATAAATAGACTGGGGATAAATGATGGGAAGATGGAAATATTCAAATCTAAATTAGAAACTGACTTGCATCAAATGGACTCCGAAAAATCACATCTTTAATCTTTAGCTCAGGTTTCAATTGAGAATAAATTTTTATTTTCTCCAGAAATATGACAGAACCTTTAAATGAACCAACACAGATCAGATTTTTCATTGCATTAGATGTGAAGCAGCTTTTCTGATGTCAGTAGCTACATTTCCCCTACAGCCAGCTAGAAAATGTTTAGAAATGTTTAGATAATATTTTTAATAGGTTAGTATATATCGTAAAGTATACTTTATGATACATTTTACAAACTACATTTCATACAGCGGCAATTACTGGTATGTAAAATTAAATTAATTGTCCAATATAAAAAACTTGACATACAAAAACAACATCTCGACATTTCTGTCGAGATGTTGCATCTCGACAGAAACGAAACTCTTTGTAATACTGATACTCAATGTGAAGCAGATGTCATCAGCAAAAGGTCTAAAAATCAACCCATCAATCAATCAAGTTTATCTGTGTAGCACATTTCAGCAACAAGGCAGTTCAAAGTGCTTTACATCATAAGAACACAAAAATACAAAGTTATGTCGTCCTCTGTTAGAGGTTTGACTCACAGACCGGCCCACCTGGACATGTTAACCCAGCTGGGCTTCATTTCTTTATTTGGCAACAGAAAAAAGACATAATAATAAAATCAGTATCGGCTAAAACTGTAACCGGTAATCTGTGATTTAGTTCATAGATCAACAGAGAATACAAATTTTACACACATCAAAGTATCAGCAGATTTCTCAGCTTTGTGTTATTTGTGATAGAAACTGAATAAGAAATAACCATTTTAGTGATATATTCATGCTCATCCTGGATTTGCATGGTTTGGTGGATATAAATCAATATTTATGGTGCCTGAAAGTGAACAGAACTAACTATGGCGGCTAATAGGCGCCGTCCAAACAGCTGGACTTGTTTACAGGTCAGAAGTGTCCAAATGTTTTGCCACTTGGGCCAAAATGATCAAGTCAGAGGTATTTCTGGGCCAAAAAAAGTAAAATAAATAAATAAATAATAGAAAGACTAAAATAAAATTAAGCAGTGAGATTTTTTTCATAGAAAAGTTATGTTATTTTCATCGTAGATCCAAAACTTTCAAATAATTTTACACATTTTCTGTATTAAAAGAAATTTCATCTAGTTTTCACCTGATTCTTTTCAGTTTCATTGAACAAATTTATTTACAAGAAAAAAAATTGAGTCACTTTCTTTGAAAACAGTTGCCATAATTAGCCAAGTTTATTATTATTACTTATTATAGAAGCCTGGTTATAAAAAGACAAATACTTTGTGTTGTACGTAACATTTTCTATTTACCCTGATTACGAATAAAAATTTGGCCAAATTTTTATTCCTCTTGAATTGAAGTTCAGGGCCACAATAAAATCCCC